ACAAGTTTAACTCAAAAACATAACCAAATCATAAGCTAGAAGGGTACAAAATGATATACAATTATGAACCGATCACAAGCCAAGGCAAAATTTAGTCTTCCCAAGATTTTTCATCTCAAATTCTTTTGTTAGATATGCAGCAGTTTTTGTAAGCTCTTCAGGGGTCCCTACAAGATTTAAATCATCCACATAAACTGCAATAATAGCAAATCCATTTTCCGTCCTTTTGATAAAGACACACGGACAAATAGGGTTGTTTATATACCCTTCTTGTAAAAGGTATTTGCTAAGGTGGTTGTACCACACTCTCCCTGATTGCTTTAGTCCATACAAGGACCGTTGTAATTTGATCGAATACAAACCACATTGCTTTGGATTATTTGTTACAGGATTTTTAAAACCTTCGGGGATTGTCGTATAAATATCAGTATCAAGTGACCCGTATAAATATGCTGTAACAACATCCATAAGTCGCATGTCAAGCTTTCCTGTGACAACCAGGCTAATCAAGTAGCGCAATGTAATTGCGTCTATTACGGGGGAATATGTTTCATTATAATCAATCCCGGGTTTCTGTGAGAAACCTTGTGCTACAAGACGTGCTTTGTATCTTACAATCTCATTTTTCTCATTTCGTTTTCGTACAAACACCCATTTGTGTCCAACAGGTTTTATGCCTTCAGGTGTTCGGACTACTGGTCCAAATACTTTACGGTTTTCCAATGAATCTAACTCTGCTTGTATAGCATCTTTCCATTTTGGCCAATCTTTTCTATGTCGACATTCTTCAACCGTTTTTGGTTCAGGATCCTCATTGTCTTTTGCAATATCTATTGCAACTTTGTAAGCAAATATATTATCTATAATCACTTCCTTTCTATTCCAGCTTTCTCCTGTACTCATGTAATTTAAACTAATCTCATCATGTATATCTTCGGGTGCATATGCCGCTACAGGGGCTGTGTTTTTATCAACTTTAAACGGATCAGTTATTGTCTCTTCGGGAGCACTCATTTGTTTTATGGTTTTCTGTTCTTCTGGAATATGCACTAGTGTCTTTTTCTTTCGGGGATTTTTATCTTTAGCACCCACAGGACGCCCACGCTTCAGGCGTGCTTTTGATGTATTATCATGTTGTCCTTCAGGGATATCAATCCTTGCGGGAGTATTTACGGCCGGTATATAAGACTTTATCACTTTCTTTGTATCAGTAAATGCGTCCGGTAATTGATTTGCAATGTTTTGCAAATGAATGATCCGTTGAACTTCATGTTCACTTTGATTTGTATGTGGATCAAGATGAGATAGTGATGGTACATTCCATGTAATTTCACGCCGTTCTTCTGGAATCGGTAGTTTTTCTCCCCCTAACGGCGGGAAAACTGTCTCATTAAAGTGGCAGTCTGCAAATCGTGCCAAGAATATGTCACCCGTTGAGGGTTCAAGATATCTAATGATGGATGGAGAATCAAATCCAACGTAAATGCCAAGACGTCGTTGGTGACCCATCTTAGTTCGTTGTGGTGGAGAAATTGGGACATAAACAGCACAACCAAAAATCTTTAAATGAGAAATGTTAGGTTGTTGCTGATGGTACATTCCATGTAATTTCACGCCGTTCTTCTGGAATCGGTACTTTTTCTCCCCCTAACGTCGGGAAAATTGTCTCATTAAAGTGGCAATCTGCAAATCGTGCCAAGAACATGTCACCCGTTGAGGGTTCAAGATATCTAATGATGGATGGAGAATCAAATCCAATGTAAATGCCAAGACGTCGTTGGTGACCCATTTTAGTTCGTTGTGGTGGAGAAATTGGGACATAAACAGCACAACCAAAAATCTTTAAATGGGAAATGTTAGGTTGTTGTCCAAAAACAAGTTGTAATGGAGAGTATTGATGAATAGAGCTTGGACGAATGCGAACTAAAGATGCAGCATGTAATATAGCATGTCCCCAGATCGAAGGGGGTAATTGTGATCTAAAAATTAGGGGTCTAGCAATCATTTGAAGGCGTTTGATAAAATTTTCTGCTAAACCATTTTGAGTATGAGTGTGTGCAACAGGGTGTTCAACATTAATACCAATTGACATGCAATAATCATCAAAGGCTTGAGATGTAAATTCACCAGCATTATCAAGACGAATAGTTTTAATAGGATAATCAGGAAAATGTGCCCTTAATTTAATTATTTGAGCAAGTAGTTTTGCAAAAGCATTAGACCTTGTAGAAAGTAAGCAAACATGTGACCATTTGGAAGATGCATCTATTAATACCATAAAATAACGAAAAGGTCCACATGGTGGGTGAATAGGTCCACAAATATCTCCTTGAATCCGATGTAAAAACATGGGAGATTCACCAACAACTTTTACCATTGATGGTTTAATAACCAACTTTCCTTGTGAACAAGCCACACATGGGCAATCACTCTGTGGAAGAATCTTCTGGTCCTTCAATGGGTGACCAAATGTATTTCCAATTATCCGACGCATCATTGTTGTCCCTGGATGACCAAGTCTATCATGCCAGAGCATGAATAGTTTCTGATTATTAAACTTCTGGTTTATATAATTTGATTCTACTGCACTTATGGTAGTATAATATAATCCTGATGAGAAAGCTGGAAGTTTTTCCAATACATGCTTCTGGCATGAGTTAATATAAGTGATGTAAAGATATTCTTTGTTCCCCTCATTCATGGTTTCAATATGAAATCCGTTAAGACGAAGATCTTTAAAACTCAGTAGATTTCTTCTGGATTTGACTGAATACAAAGCATTTTCTATATAAATATTTATTCCCCCAGGGAGTATTATTGTGGCTCTCCCGGAGCCTTCAATTAACTTGGAAGTACCCGAAATGGTATTTACATTGGCTTTAGCTATTTTTAAGTGCGTGAAATATTTCTTATCTCGAAGAATCGTATGCGTTGTTGCACTGTCTACTAGACATACATCTCCATCACATCTTTTGGAATAGCTCAAAGCATTGAAATTTTTCATATTTCTATATAAGATGATAAAGATAATTAGATCATGGATCCATCTTATTGAATTAAAAACATTACACAAAATGTAGAAATTGAAACATTCAGCATACAACAAGCCCTTTATTTTAAGTATTATACACAACATGCGGAATTTTAAACACACAACATAAAGTACAATGCAAAGTTCAACATTGAATCATTCATCGTTCATGTCATCATTGGCATCATGGCCATCATTGCCATCATTGCCACCATTATTGGCATTTTCTTCATTGATTATGGGATCAGTGTTTCCATTTATTTCTGTAAAGAAATCAGAAACTTCTAAATGGGTGATATCTAACGGCTCGTTATCATCATCAAGAAGATTATCGAAATCAGTGTAGTTTGTTTCCTTTTCCTTTCCTTTTCCCTTGATTGATTCTTGATATAGATTAACAAGATGTTTTGGTGTACGACATGTACGTGACCAGTGTCCTTTCACTCCACATCTATAACAAGCATCATCGTCTTTCTTTTGGGAATTATACATCACTTTTCCTTTTCCTTTTCTATCACTATTATTCCACTGCTGGTGGTGTGATACGTTTTTCTTATTTGAATAACTTACTTGATTTCGGTAATTGTCGTAATTACGACCACGACCTCGTCCTCGACCGCGTCCATGACCACACCTATATCGGCTTGCATTTGCTTCAGGCCATAATGTTTGTATATTCTCATTTGCATTCGCTTCAGGGAATGATTTTGATCCCGTTGGATGAGACTGATGATTTTTCATTAAAAGTTCATTGTTTTGTTCTGCAACAAGAAGACATGAAATCAGTTGGGAATATTTCTTAAACCCCCTTTCTCTGTATTGCTGCTGCAGGAGCATGTTGGATGCATGGAAAGTAGTGAATGTCTTTTCCAGCATATCTTCATCTGTAATTCTGTCTCCACACAAGGTTAATTGAGATACAATTTTAAACAGTGCTGAATTATACTCATTTACAGATTTGAAATCCTGCAAACGCAGATGCATCCAATCATATCGAGCCTTTGGAAGTATTATGCTTTTTTGGTGGTCATATCTTTCTTCCAAATTTTTCCATAGTATTGCTGGATCTTTTACCCCAAGATACTCAGTCTTTAATCCTTCATGAAGATGCCGTCGAAGGAAAATCATTGCTTTTGCACAATCCTGCAGGGATGCTTGATTTCCTTCCCTGATGGTATTTCCCAAGTTATTCGCTTGCAAGTGGATTTCAGCATCCAGAACCCATGTTAGATAATTCTTTCCAGAAATATCTAGTGCAATGAAATCGATTTTGGCAAGGTTTGACATTGTTGTGTATCCATAAAATAACAGTATGAATTAATAATATAAATGCTCAAGATTATGTACTTGAAATTATATATCAAAATTTAATAATTTTTAAGACTTCTGGCTCTTTGGATTATCATATCATTTAGAACTTCTGGTTCTAATATTATTTTGAATTTAAACTTCAGGTTTTCATTCAACAAAATTCACTTCTTATAAAGTATTTATGATATTACAATTATCATTTTGGTTTGGAACTTCGGGTTCAAAATATGTTGATCTATGAACTTCGGGTTCATGTATAATAAGGAAACTTCATTACATAAAAAAAATAATCTATAAACTTTAGCTATTAAACTTATGCATATATTCAAAAAGGAATAAGTATATGATATATAAATGTCATGCACGAATGTTAGATATAAAATGAATTAGAAAAATATTCTGCACAAAAGTTAGATAATAGATAAGTACCCTGCACAAAAGTTAGATGACATAGAATATTCATGTGTTGATATAGCTTCCACCTGTTTTAATTAATATATGTATAGCTACATCTAAATGAGACTTGGTTAGTAAAAATAGTACTCATATTTAAATTACAGTATATAAATTTAGAGAGAAGAAAATTATACCGAGTTCAATCAAGAGTCTCGGGTGGTTAGAGACTCGTGCTGATAACGTGATATAAATCTAGTAAAATTTAGGAAGAATTTTGGAGAGAACGCTAACAATTAGATTAGCACTTCGTAGGAACTGATATCCTTCACTTCATTAATGCCTTGTATTTATAGGCAATGAAAAACAT